TCCTCGTACGCTTCGTGGCCCCGTAGGGAGCTCCACCGAAGGCCCCAGTAGCAAGGCTCGCATACGATTCCACCCCCCATGTCGGCACACCCCGCACGCGTCTCGTGAGCCAATAGCGAAATCCACCTAATTCCCCAGTGGCAGGGTTCGCATGCGGTTCCACCTCCATTTTGACACCCCTCACACGTTTCGTGGCCCCACATGGAGCTCCACCGAAGGCCCCAGTGGCAGTGTTCGCATGCGGTTCCGCACCCATGTCGGCACACCCCTCACACGTTTCGTAGCCCCGTCGGCAGCCTCACCGAAGGCCCCAGTGGCAGGGGCCGCATGCGGTTCCACCCCCATTCTGGCACATCTCTCACACGATTCATGGCCCCATAGGGAGCTCCCCCGAAGACGATACTGACAACTGCGGCACTCACATATGGTTGGGTCCTTCTCCAGGCTAATGTTTGCTTGTTGTCCCGCGTGCAGGCCGAGGCCGAGGATACACGGAGAAAACGTCGAGGCTGAAAAGCTCAGTGCCTTGGAGGCCTCGCTCTTTTCCTCCCTCCCCCCTCCCTTCCTGCCCCCTCTTCCTCCTTGTCCCCCCACGCAGTATTCGCGCTATCCTCTCTCCCCTGATGCTGTCATGCATCGAGGGAAAAATCTGGGACTAAACATCAGGCTTTCTCGGGAGCCCTGAGACGGGGGTCAGTGCAAACGGGGGTCAGCCAGGGCGCCCGATCTTGCAGGATCGTGCAGGGCCAGGGTCGCATTGACCCGGGCTTGGGTGCAGGATCCTGCAGGAGCTTGCAGGATCCTTCGCATTGACTTGGGTTTGGGCGCAGGATCTTGCCGGATTTTGCAAGACCTGACTGGCCCGGGTCTGGATTGACCCGGGTCAGAGGATCCCCGACTTTCGGGACGTCTCGGTCCCAGCCCCTTCCCTCCCTCCCTCCCTTCTACCTCCCCCCTATTCCTCCCCTTTCCCCTCTCCCCCCCCTCTCCGCTCCCCCCTTTCTCCCCAGAGATCCGACGCGCTGACTTGCGTCCACACCAGGCCCCAGGAAGCCTCGACTCGTTCCCGAGGGCCCGCTCGTCGTCCCGAGCCGTGTTGTGATCCTCCCGTGGCCAGGCGGGCACCTCCAGAGGCCGAAGTCGACGAAAAAGCTCGTCCGCCGCAACTGCCTCGCGACGCGAGCGGCGAGGGCCGTCCCTCGCTCCGGTTCGACTCTTCGGCTCTGTGCCCGTGCGGCCCGGCTCGATCCGGCTTCCCGATGCGGTGGTGATTGCTCTCGGATGTGTCGCGGTGTCGCCCAGTCTGCCGCCCCCGCTCTCCCCCTCTCCCTCCCCTCCCTCTCCCCCTCCATCCCCTCCCTCACTCTTCCTCCCCTCCCCCCTCTTCGTCCCTCCCCTCTACAGGGACACCATATGAATACGCCTCTCCTCTCTCCCCTGGTGGTGTCCGGGGAACGTCGGGCCCCCCTCCGCGCACTGGTTTTGTGCACAGGATACCCGGGAGTTGGGTTTTCGCTTGGTTTTCTGTTTCAAAATGTTGCTTGCGCTGAAGCGCTGGCCTCATTTTCAGGCTACCGCTCGTTCCGAATCGTGCTCCCGCTGCAGCGCTGGCCTCATTTGCGCGCTTCCGCTCGTTCCGAATCGTGCTCCCGCTGCAGCGCTGGCGTTATCATTTCCAGCGCCATGCCACGGCATATTTTTCGGTCCTTCCAAATAGGGCCCAACATCTAGAAAATGCCCCCCCGAAAAAACCATCGGAAGTGATAACAAATTTGGTGTCGATTCGTCGATTTTTTGGCAGCAGAAGCCCCCCCCCCCACTTTAGGGCGTCGCCACGCCAGGCTATGTGAGGCTACGTGTCCTCATTTCCGCGCTTCCGCGCTTGGATGTTTGGTTAATGCTGCTCTCGCTGAAGCGCTGGCCTCATTTTCGGGCTACCGCTCGTTCCGAATCGTACTCCCGCAGCAGCGCTGGCCTCATTTGCGCGTTTCCGCTCGTTCCGAATCGTGCTCCCGCTGCAGCGCTGGCGTTATCATTTCCAGCGCCATGCCACGGCATATTTTTCGGTCCTTCCAAATAGGGCCCAACATCTAGAAAATGACCCCCCGAAAAAATCTTCGGAAGTGATAACAAATTTGGTGTCGGTTCGTCGATTGTTTGGCCGCAGAAGCCCCCCCCCACTTTAGGGCGTCGCCACGCCATGCTATGTCAGGCTACGCGTCCTCATTTCCGCGCTTCCGCGCTTGGTTTTTCTTGTTAATGGTGCTCTCGCTGAAGCGCTGGCCTCATTTTCGGGCTACCGCTCTTTCCGAATCGTGCTCCCGCTGCAGCGCTGGCCTCATTTGCGCGCTTCCACTCGTTCCGAATCGTGCTCCCGCTGCAGCGTTGGTGTCATTATTTCGAGTGCCATGCCCCGGCATTATTTTGGGTCCTTCCAGATAGGCCCCGAAATCTAGAAAATGGTTTCGGACGTGATTACACATTCGGTGTCGATTCGTTGATTTTGGGGGCCGCAGAAGCCCCCCCCCCACCCTGGGGCGTCGCCACGCCATGCTAGGTCATGCTACGCGTTGATCTTCGATACCATGCTGTGCCATGTAATGCTATGCCTTGCTGCGACATCCGATTGTGCGAATAGAAAGGGGATCTACGCCATGGTGAGGTATGGGAGGGAGGGGTAGGACGTCAGATATGACGCGGGCCCACCTAGCTTGCCTTCCTCCACTCCCCCCACTCCCTCCTCTCTCCTCCCCTTTCCCCCCCTTCGCAAATGACCCAATATAAGTGGCCCGACTGCTTCCTGGAAGGTTGTCCACCCTCTCCGTGTATATGTCGGCGGCGAGCGAGGTCTCTCTGAGCAGGAGTCTTTTTTCACACGCTAGTCGCAGCTCGGTGGCGCTATCGTCCTCGGCGGACTCCATTCAGCTGGGGAAGTGAGAAGGAGGAGGCCTTCTCAGAAGGCGGCGGGGCTTCTCGGAAGCCCTCCGCCCCTCTGGGAAGTGTTCTGCGTCTGCTGGGGAGGCTCAGAAGTCATCTCAGAGGCCGGGGGACTTCTGGGCCTTCTGGGAAGGCCCGCCCCCGCCCATCCCCCCCCGGGGCTCGCCGCCGAACTCTTCACCCACAGGATTTCAAAAACACAGCCTTTTCCAAATGTTCCCCCAACTGCGCTTGGAGGAGGAGGAGGAGGAGGAGGAGGAGGAGGAGGAGGAGGAGGAGGAGGAGGAGGAGGAGGACGAGGAGGAGGAGGAGGAGGAGGAGGAGGAGGAGGAGGAGGAGGCGGCGGGGGGTCATGCTTCTGTCTCGCAAGGCGTTGGGCGGGTGCGCCCAGTTGCCGCCTCGTGGGCGCCTCGGTGGGCGCCCCGTGCGCTTGGGCGCGTCCGCCGAGGCTGCGCCACGCTGCCGCCCCGTGCGCACCTCGTGGGCGCCTCGTGGGCGCCCCGTGCGCCGGGTGGGTCCGCCGAGGTCGCGCCGCGTTACTGCACGTGGGCGCCTCGTAGGCGCTCGTGGGCGCCCCGTGTGCTGATCTCACACCATCTGGCTGTTCAACACATAGCTTGCCTGGCGTAGCTTACACCGAATATAGCTGCGCAACACAGCTTTCATGCCATGGCTTCCACAGCATGGCTGACACCGCCAGGTCACGCCGTATGCGCATACGTGCACACATCGTGCACGATACGAATTATTCCACATAGCATACAGCGCATACCGTTCACCTCCATTGCTCACAACACACAGCGTATAAGATCTAGTTTGCACCACATAGCTTGCACTGTATAGCTTGAGAACGTGCAAAGTGAATCAAGCCACCGTTAGTGGTCCATGCTATCTAACATATGTTTCTCAGTCGGGACTTTGGCCGTGTTTCAAAATGGTGATCCCGTTGCAGCGCGGCCCTCATTTTAGGATCGGTATTTTGCTCCCGTCGGTCATAATGTCGCTCTCGCCCCAGCGCGTGCCACTTCTCTGGATCCGAATCCTCCCTCATCGTTTTTGCCCCACTGCTTGCCCCTCCTCGGCCTTCCCTGGTCATCTTGCTCCTCCTGCTCCTTCTGCTGCTGTTTCTCGTCGTCTTATTCCTCCCCAATTTTCCTCCTGCTCATCCTCCAACGAACGCAGCTTTTTATTTTTTCTGACTGCGCATCACATGGTGGGGTCCTTTTGCGGGCTGGCACCTGTCGGCGAATAGAGGACCATCCGCGCAATGTGAACGGATGGGTGGGAAGGGCAGGATGTCAGATGTGGCGCGAGCGCCTTTGACTTGCCTACCCCTTTCGCACAATTACTCAACAGTCATGCAGTTAGAATACAACTGTCCTCTCTCCCATGACTCCTGTCCAGAAGATGTGCCGCCCTCTCCGCGCATTGTCTATTAGACACAGGGTGTCATTATCTAGTATTCCCGATGGTTTGTCCATTCGGAACGTTCCCGGTGTTTCAAAATCGTGTTTCCTCGGCAGTGCGTGCACCATTTTGGGATCGGCGTCTTGCTCCATTCTTTCAAAGTGGCGAGCTCTCCCCAGCGCAGGCCACAATTCTGGATCCGAGTTGTTCCTCATCGTTGTCGCCCCGCTCCTTTTCCCTCCTCCAACTTCCCTTGGACCTCCTGCTCCCCCCACTCCTCCTGCTCCAGCTCCTGCTGCGGCTGTTCGCCCTCGTCCTTTTTCCTCTTCCTCCTCCTCCTCCTCCTCCGCCTCCTCCTCCTCTTCTTCCTGATCATCATCTTGCTCATCCGCCACCTCCTCTCTCTCTCTCTCTCTCTCTCTCTCTCCCTCTCTTTATGCGTACAGCTCCCCTTCTCCGACTGCGGAGCATGTGATGGCTCTGACGCGCGCCCGTGGACATGGCCCCAATCAGCGCAAAAAGGGAAGGGACGAGAGGGAGGGGTGGCGCGAGCGCACCGAGCGTGCCCCCGCCTACCCCTCCCCCCGCCCCCACCCCCTCCCCCCCCCCCGCCCCTCCCCGCCGACCGCCGCGGCGGGCACAGGGTGCGAGAGCCCATGGGCTTCGCACGGAGCCCCGCGGCCGTGCTCGCTGCTGGCTGGGCGGAGGACCAGGGCCGCAGGGCCGAGATGGAGGACGGGCTCCCTCGGGGGGGGGGGGCGCCCTTCTCCTCGACTCCTCCTCACTCTTCACCTCCTCCCTCCTCCTCCTCCGCCTCCGCCGCCTCCTCCTCCCCGCCCCCTCTGCGCTGCGCTCCTCCTCCTCCCTCCTCCTCCTCCTCCACCTCCCTCCTCCTCCTCCTCCTCCTCCTCCTCCTCCTCTCCTCCTCCTCCTCCTCCTCCTCCTCCTCCTCCTCCTCCTCCTCCATTCCTTTTCCTTGCGAATCCCTCCTCCCTGTCGCACCCCGAGGCTGGTCGAAAGGGCGGGCCGGGCGCTGCGCATGAGAATCCCGCATTGTTTATGATCCTCAAGCTCAAAGATTGGCAACCGTTTCAACGATGGAGAACGGGCGGTTCTCAAAGTGTGGTTGTCGCCTTAGCACCGCGCACATTCGTTCCAACAAGTTGCAAGAGCTTCACGGATTGGAGGTGGGTCGTTTTCAACACGTGGTTCTCGCCTTAGCGCCGCGTACATTCGTTTCAAAAATTCGCAAGAGCTTCATAGATTGAGGGCGGGTCGTTTTCAAAATGTGCATCTCGCTTTAGTGCCGCGTACATTCGTTTGAAACGTGCGCAAGAGCTTCACGGATTGAGGGCGGCTCATTTTCAATATGTGGTTCTCGGTTTAGCGCCGCGCACACTCGTCCTGAACATTTGCCAGAGTTTCACGGATTCCCATGGCTAACGTACCAGAATGGTGCTTTGAAACGATTCAGGATTGCCAGAGCGCAATACTTATATTGATTCGCGGTGTTGAAGTCCCAGGAGTGGCATTCTGACACGATTCGGGATCGCCAAGGCGCAACAGTCAGGTTGATGCGTGGCGTTGGAGTCCCGAGAACAGTTTTTGGCACGATTCGGGATCTTCAAACAGTTGTTCCCGAACGGGGCATTTCCTTCAGTGGAAATGAATTTATTGTATGGGGCCTATGAAGAGGGAGTTTGGAGCGAGGCTTTATTACAAGATCGTTGATGAATGTTGGGTTTACATTGGTCCCTCCTGCTCCTCCTCCCCATCTTCAGTTAATCCTCCTCCTCCTTTTTCCTCCACTGTCATCCTCCAGTATGCGGCACATTGTCCTCGATGTTCCTCCTCATTCTTCTCCTCCTTCTCCTCCTCCATCTCCTCCCTCCACCCCCTCCTCGTCTATCTCCTTCCCTCCCTCCTTTTATATCCTCCCCATACTCCTCCATTCCCTCTCATCCTCCTTCCTCCTCCTCCTCCTCCACCTCCTCCTCCTCCTCCTCCTCGCCTCCTCCTCCTCCCCCTCCTCCTCCTCCTCCTCCTCCTCCTCCTCCTCCTCCTGTTCTTCCATGATCATCCCCCATGATTCGGCATAGTCTCCTCTGTTCTCCTCCTCGTCCTCCTCCTTCTCCCCTCCTCCTTCCCCTCCTCTATCTCCTTCCCCTCCTCCTCCTCCTCCTTCTACTTCATCCCCATACTCCTTCATTTCCTCTCCTTCTCCTCCTTCCTCCTCCTCCTCCTCCTCCTCCTCCTCCTCCTCCTCCCCCTCCTCCTCCTCCTCCTCCCCCTCCTCCCCCACTTTCTTCCACTCTCGAGCTGCAGCAGAGGTTGGCAGAGGCTATTCCTTCTCACATGGCGGGCTCGTACAACCGAAGCGCAATTCAATCCTTTTCCATGATCCTCCTCTTCCTCCTCCTCAATCTTCTCATCCTGCTCCTCCTCCTCCTCCTCCTCCTCCTCCTCCTCCTCCTCCTCCTCCTCCTCCTCCTCCTCCTCCTCCCCCTCCATCTCAATATCCATCTCTATTATCCCCCTCCTCCTCGTTCTCCTCCTCCGCGTCCTCCCTTCTCAACCACTCCCCACTCCACTTAGGTGTACGTGACCCAGAGACCCCGCGAGCTCAGCCGCCGCCGCCTCCGCCATCGCCTCCCTCCTCGTCGTCCTACTCGTCGTCCTCCTTCTCCTCCTCCTCCTCCTCCTCCTCCTCTTCAACTCTCCGCCCCTCCATTTCCATCACCTACTCCTCTTCCTCCTCCTTCTCCTCCTCCTCCTCCGCCTCACTTCCTTTTTCCCCTAGGCTCACCGAGGCCAAGTTCCGCGATGAGCGGCACAAAGGTCAGCTCGCCAACATCGCCGCCAAAAGATGAGGGCTCCCAGCCTGCAGCCTCTCCGATTTGAGCGTGGCCAGGCGCCTGATGCGGGAGCACAGCTTGCTGCAACACGGGCCGGCGAGCGTGCCTAAAGGCGCACAGCCGTGACCGCTGCGCGGTGTGCTGCGGGCCCTAGCGGGCTCGCGCCGGGAGAACGCGTGCGTGGCCGCTTTGCCACAAGTATCATCATTATCCTTCCCCCGTTCTGGTCTTCTTCCTCCTCCTCCTCTCTCTTCTTTCTCTTCCTGCGTTTAATGCACACGCGTCTGCACGTAACCACGAATGTAGCATGCTGCGATCGTTGTTGTGCCAGTCTTCGTGGACTTGTGGCCAGCTGAGGAGAGCAGGCTATCAGGTGCAAACGACATGCATCAGTGGAGGTCCTTCTGATAGCATATCCCGCACCGCCCATCTGGGGCAAGAAATGCTCACTGGTACAGATTGAATATTGCTTCCGGACCGCCACCGCAACTTCCCGCTTGTATGCAGATTCATGGAACTTCAGTGCACGTATCACGCGGCAGGGTTGTCGGTTGTCAAATGGATTCCTACCAGAGAACTGGTTGCCGCACTTTGGGCGCCGTGGGATCGGATTATCCCCAAATTTCGACAGCAGCCAAGCACGTCGCAGGTTTCCGCATCGTGGAGGCCCCAGCGCATGAAGACCCACCGACGCTCCCCCAGCTCTCGTCTGACTGGTACAGAGCCGTGGGCAACGTGCGTGCATACGTGCGTGTGTTTGTTGGTTCCGAGCCGGCTCCACAGACGCGCTTGCGACCGCCAGCGCTGCCGACGAACAAATCACAAATCATTTGGGCGAAGGACCCAAGCATATGTTGTTGTGTGTACAGTCGTTGCGGGCATCGCCTTCGGGGGATGTCCTCATGGGGCCATGAAGCATTCGAAGGGTGTGCCGAGATGAGTGGGGCCGCGACGGGGGCGCTGCCACTCCCAGCATCATCACCATCATCATCGTCATCATCACCATTACCATCGTCAACCGCCAACATGACCGCATCATCAACATCATGGCCGTCATCGTCCGTCATCATGCACATTGCCCTGAGATCTTCGTTGGAGCTCCCGATGGAGCCACGAATCGCGCAAAGGGGTGTGCCGTGAAGGGACGGGCAGCCGCATGCGGGCATCCCCACTGGGACTTGCGGTGGAACTCCTTATGTGGCCACGAAGCGCTGTATTGCGTCAGGTGACGCGCATGCGGCCTGCGGTCAATGGGACCTTCGGTGGAGCTCCCCATGGGGCCACGGAACGTTGTATTGAGCGTTGGAGACGCGTGCGAACACCGCCATTGGGGTCTTTGGCAGAGCTCCCTATGGGGCCACGAAACGTTGTATTGGATGGGAGAGACACATGCGAACACCGCCACTGGGGCCTTCGGTGGAGCTCCATATGGGGCTACGAAACGCTGTACTGGGCGGAGGAGACGCACGCAAACACCGCCACTGAGGCCTTCGGTGGAGCTCCCTATGGGGCCACGGAGCGTTGTACTGAGCGGGAGACACGCGTGTGATCACAGCCATTGGGGCCTTCGGTGGAGTTCCCTATCGGGCCACGAAGCGCCGTATTGGGCGGGGGAGATGCATCGCCAGTGGGGCCTTCTGTGGAGGTCCTTGTGGGGCCACGAAACGCTGTACTGAGTGGGGACGACGCATGCGAACACCGCCAATGGGGCTTTCGGTGGAGCTCCCTATGGGGCCACGAAGCAGCGTACTAAGTGGGGGAGAACGCATGCGAGCACCGCCGTTGGAGCGTTCGGTGGAGCTCCCTATGGGGCCACGAAGCGTTGTGAACACCGCCAGTGGAGCCTTCGGTGGAGTTCGGTATGGAGCCACGAAGCGTTCGCTGTACTGTGCGGGGGGGGGAGACGCATATGATCAGCGCCACCAGGGCCCTCGGTGGATCTCCCTTTGGGGCCACGAAACTCTGTATTGGATGGGAGAGACACATGCGAACACCGCCACTGCGGCTTTCGGTGAACTGCCCGATGGGGCCACGAAACGTCGTATTGGGTGGCACGCACCGATGTATTAGGAATGAAAGACGCATGCGAACACCGCAATTGGGGCGTTCGGTGGAGCTTCCTATTGGGCCTCGAAGCGCTGTACTGGGCGGGGGAGACGCATGCGATCACAGCCACTGGGGCCATCGGTGGAGCTCCCTCTGGGGCGACGAAAGCCCTACTGAGCTGGGGCGGCGCATGCGATCACAGCCACTGGCACCACCGGTGGAGCTCCCCATGGGGCCGCGAAGCGCCGTATTGGGCGACACAGGACGCAAGTGATCACAGCCACTGGGACCATCGGTGGGGCTCCCTATTGGGCCACGAAAGGCCGTATTGGGCGGAGCGGGACGCATGTGAGCACAGCCATTGGGGACTTCGGTGGAGCTCCCTATGGAGCCCCGAAACTTTGTACTCGGTGCGAAAGACAGAAGCAGGGATGGGAGGAGGAGGAGGAGGAGAAGGAGGAGGACCATTGTAAACCCAAGAGTCATCTATGATGTTGGAATTAACCCTCTTTCCAAGCTCCCTCCTCACAGGCCCCTACAACGGTTCATTTTTATTCAGGGAACTGCACGGAAGAAGACCGGTTCAACAGACGACCAGTTCAACAGGGACCGGTTCAACAGACGACCGATTCAACAGACACCGGTTCAACAGACGACCAGTTCAGCAAGGACCGGTTCAACAAAGCCCGGTTCAACAGGACCGGTTCCGCAGAACCAGTTCCACGGAACCAGTTCCACAGGGCCAGTTCCGCAGGACCGGTACTACAGAACCGGTTCCAGAAGCCCGGTTCCACAGGACTGGTTCCACAGGACCGGTTCCACAGGACGGGTTCCACAGGCGATTCCTTGCTGCTAGTCTCTCTCTCTCTCTCTCTCATTACACTGCTGCTGTTGCTGCTGCTGCTGCTCCTCCTCTTCTTCCTCCTCCTCCTCCTCATCCATCCCTCTCTGCCCTCCCGCCCTCCCCCATCCCTCGTTGCCGCTACGTCCCCCCGCCCCACATCCCTCATCCCTCCCTACTTCCTCCTCCCCTCTCACCCGACCCGTCCTGCCCGACCCGACCCGACCCCTCCCGCCCGTTAGGGTCCGCCCGCCCGACCCGTCCCGCCCGTTAGGGTTCTCGCGTGCCAACTCGATGGCGCATCATACTTGAATGTCCTGCCCGCCCGACCCGACCCGTCCCGCCCGTTAGGGTCCGCCCGCCCGACCCGACCCGTCCCGCCCGTCAGGGTCCGCCCGCCCGCCGGACCCGTCCCGTTCGTTAGGGTACTCGCGTGCCAACTCGATGGCGCACCATACTTTAATGTCCGCCCGACCCGACCCGACCCGCCCGTTAGGGTCCGCCCGCCGGGACCGTCCCGCCCGTCAGGGTACTCGCGTGCCAACTCGATGATGCACCATTATTTTATGTCCCGCCCGCTCGACCCGACCCGTCCCGCCCGTGAGGGTCCGCCCGCCCGACCCGACCCGTCCGCCCGCCCGCCGGACCCGTCCCGCCCGTTAGGGTACTCGCGTGCCAACTCGATGGTGCATCATACTTTAATGTCCCGCCCGCCCGACCCGACCCGTCCCGCCCGTTAGGGTCCGCCCGCCCGACCCGACCCGTCCCGCCCGTCAGGGTCCGCCCGCCCGCCGGACCCGTCCCGCCCGTTAGGGTACTCGCGTGCCAACTCGATGGCGCACCATACTTTAATGTCCGCCCGACCCGACCCGACCCGCCCGTTAGGGTCCGCCCGCCGGACCCGTCCCGCCCGTTAGGGTACTCGCGTGCCAACTCGATGATGCACCATTATTTTATGTCCCGCCCGCTCGACCCGACCCGTCCCGCCCGTGAGGGTCCGCCCGCCCGACCCGACCCGTCCGCCCGCCCGCCGGACCCGTCCCGCCCGTTAGGGTACTCGCGTGCCAACTCGATGATGCATCATACTTTAATGTCCCGCCCGCCCGACCCGACCCGTCCCGCCCGTTAGGGTCCGCCCGCCCGACCCGTCCCGCCCGTTAGGGTACTCGCGTGATGGCGCACCATACCCGCCCGACCCGACCCGCCCGTTAGGGTCCGCCCCCGACCCGTCCCCCGTACTCGCGTGCCAACTCGATGATGGTCCCGCCCGCCCGACCCGACCCGTCCCGCCCGTTAGGGTCCGCCCGACCCGCCCGACCCGTCCCGCCCGTTAGGGTACTCGCGTGCCAATTCGATGGTGCATCATTCTTTAATGTCCCGCACGCCCGACCCGACCCGTCCCGCCCGTTAGGGTCCGCCCGACCCGACCCGACCCGTCCCGCCCGTTAACCCGTCCCGCCCGTTAGCGTACATCTCGATGATGCCCGCCCGCCCGACCCGACCCGTCCCGCCCGTCCCGTCCCGCCCGTTAGGGTCCGCCCGCTCGCCGGACCCGTCCCGCCCGTTAGCGCATTCGCGTGCCATCTCGATGATGCCGCCCGCCCGCCGACCGTCAGGGTTGGACTCGTTTAGGGTCTCCCGCGTCGCCAACTCGATGGTGCATCATACTTTAATGTCCTCCGCCCGTTAGGGTCCGCCCGCCCGACCCGACCCGTCCCGCCCGTTAGGGTCCGACGGCCCGCCGGACCCGTCCCGCCCGTTAGGATACTCGCGTGCCAACTCGATGGTACATCATACTTTAATGTCCCGCCCGTCCGACCCGACCCGACCTTTCCCGTTAGGGTCCGCCGCCCGACCCGACCCGACCCGCCCGTTAGGGTCCGCCCGCCCGCCGGGACCGTCTCGCCCGTTAAGGTACTCGCGTGCCAACTCGATGGTGCATCATTCTTTAATGTCCCGCCCGACCTGACCCGTCCCGCCTGTTAGGGTCCGCCCGACCCAACCCGACCCGTCCCGCCCGTTAGGGTCCGCCCGCCCGCCGGACCCGTCCCGCCCGTTAGGGTACTCGCGTGCCAAGCCGATGATGCATTCTACTTGAATGTCCCGCCAGCCCGACCCGACCCGTCCCGCCTGTTTGGGTACTCGCGTGCCATCTCGATGATGCATTCTGTTTGAATGTCCCGCCCGCCCGACCCGAGCCCGACCCGATTCTGGGGAAGCGGTTCCGGGGAAACGGTGCACCGGGGAAACGGTCCAGGGGAACCGGCTGCGGGGAAACGGTTCTGGGGAACCGGCTCCGGGGAAACGGATCGGGGGAAACAGTTCCGGGCAAGCGTTCCCGGGGAAACGAAACCGGGGAAACGGTCCCGGGGAAACGCTCCTCCGGGGAAGCGGTCCCCGGGGAAGAGGTCTCTGGGTAAACGGTCCTCTGGGGAAACGGTCCCGGGGAAGCGGTTCCGGGGAAACGGTTCCCAGGGAAACGGTTTCGTATCAACTGCACCGCTGGAAGACAACCGTTTGAGGACCCTGAAGCATGCCAAAACATTGTTCCCGGGTTTTCAACGCCTCGGATCAACCTGACTGCTGCGTGGAGCCGCCCCGCATCCGTGAAACTTCTGCAAATGTTAAAAACGAATGTGCGCGGCGCTAAGGCGAAAGCCACATTTTAAAGAGAAGCCGCCCTGAATCCGTGAAACCCTTGCGAACTTTTGAAACGAATGTGCGCGGCGCTAAGGCGAGAGCCACATTTTGAAAAGGAGCCGCCATGAATCCGTGAAACCTTTGTGATTTGTTTACGACTGTGCGCAGACAAAAGCCACATTTTGAACAGGAACCGCTCTGAATCCGTGAAACTCTTGCGAAGTTTTGTAACGAATGCGCGCGGCGCTAAGGCGAGAGCCACATTTTGAAAACGACCCGCCCTCCATCTGTGAAACTGTTGCCACTTTTCAAGCTTCAGAGTCATAAGTGGTGAGGAAGTCTCAGGCGAAACGCCAAGACCGCCCTAAAATCTGGCCTCGGGGTGCGACACGGAGAAGCTATTTAAAAGGAGAAGGAATGGAGGAGGGGGATGGGGAGGAGGGAAGAGGAGGAAAGGGAAGGAGGAGACGCGGGGCGCTGTCTCTTCAAAACGAGGACCTAAGACCACAGGATGGTTGAGAAATATGTTTGTTCCATGGTGTGGGGCTCTGAGCTGTTTGGCACCACCAGCCTTGCGGGCTTCGCCCCGCACTCAGTTTTCTAGTGGACTGTACGCTGGCTGGCTGCATGTGACCTCGATCCCTGCTGGAAACCTCCAGGCCCCCCCACGCAAACTTTCAGACATTCGGGGTATATTTACATCCGATCGATCCGCTTCGATATCGATTCACGCCAGGCTCGGAGGGCCACGAGGCCCGCCCCGTCGGCGAAGCCAACGTGTATGTCCTTCAGGGGTGCCCTGGTGTCGCCGCAATGGTGCGCGGCGAGGGCCCACCTGTGCAAACCACCCGGCAATCTCAGCACTGTCCTGCACCCGACGGAGGGGCTGCTCGTGAGGGCCCCCGCGGGCCGCACCCGCAGCCGAGCCCGCAGGATCGTCCATCTGTTCCACCTCACGACGCTGGGATGAGACTCTGTCTGGCGAGCTGCGGGTGGGCTGGTTCCAGTGCGTTTCCACCACCAGATGGTGCGGACCTCCCTCGGCTTGCGCGGAGTGGCACAACGACGAGACCCCAGTGTCGCTGTCTAGGTGCAGGTTTACATCTGGCGCTGCACAGGAAGTACGGGCCCCCGCTCGCGACACCGAGCCAAAATACTGCATCCACCTTCAACGAGAGCCGCGCCGGTATGTCATACCAAGATTTACCACCGGTTGTTGAAGGCGCTGGGCAGGCTGCCACATGAGCCACTTATGGACTCCCTGCCCGGACACCCGAGTCTCAACATTTGCCGCTGCCATCCTCACCGCATGGGCGATGAGAACCGTACGCTACGCAGATCGCCTCGCCCAGGTAATTAGCTGAGCCCCGACATCGATACTGGCCGCTCGGTCCGATCTGATTTCGATGTTCTGGCGATCCGATGCGGTATGGTGCTTGCATAGGTGCCATTGCGCATCCCGTCGCAGCCGATCCGGTCCGACCTTGATTCCGTGCCGATGTGGCCCAGTCCGACGCACTTTCCGATTCAGTCCGATGTTTCCCCAATCGGTATTGATCGATCCTGGGCGTCGGTCGGCGTCTGGCGCCCTGCCAAGAGATCGTGCTCTTGTCCACCGGCGATGACGGGCGCGACCGGGGGAAGGGTGGGAGGGGGGCAGGAGGCCAGCGCCGCCCAGGAGTGCCGGGAATGGCCAGTTCCTGGGCGGCGCTGGTGCGAATCGTGACGTGACCAGGGGGGGGAGCTGGGGAGAGGGGGGCGGGACGGGCTACGCGGAGCGATGTATCGCGAGAGAGAGAGAGAGAGAACGGGCGCCGCAGGTTCGTGTTCGTGGACCGGTTCGGGGGGAGGCAGACGAGTGCCTTCTTCGCGGTCTACGACGGCCACGGGGGAAGACAGGCACTGGCGCGCGCGCGCTGCTCTCTCTCTCTCTCTCTCTCTCGCTCTCATCGGGGCCTTTCCATCGCAGCCGCCACGGCATCGCGGGCATTGGAGGGCGGGGGGATAAAGTGGGACTGGGAGGGGCTTGGGTGGGTGGATGGATGGACGGATGGATGGACGGATGGACGGTTACGGAGGAGGAGGACGAGAAGGACAGGGCGGGGAGGAGGAGGAGGAGGAGGAGGAGGAGGAGGAGGAAGAGGAGGAAGAGGAAGAGGAGGAGGAGGAGGAGGAGGAGGAAGGGGAGGAGGAAGGGGAGAAGGAAGGGAAAGCAAGGCAAGGGAGGAGGGGCTCTTTCTCATCCTCCTCCTCTTCTACGATCTCGTCTTGCCTTGCGGGGGTTTCGTTCCTTGTCCCCTGCGACCTGCCGCGGGAGGAGCTTGAGGGCGCACACTTCTGTGCTGAAGTCGGCAGCTTCGATGGCGGACGGCAGTGCTGGCGGAGCGTGGAGCCCGTGGGCTCGTGTCCACTGCAGCGGTGTGGTCGTGCCGTGGATGTCCACGTGGTTTCCTTCGGGCTGCGCTTCTTCTGCGACGACTGACTGCTGCATGCGCTGATCTATGCTCGCGTATTTTTATCCGTGTTGTAGAAATAGATATATACAGATAAGTAACTAAGTAAGACCAGCGTCCGGGCCTCAGGGCCCAGGGGCAGCACACACTTTTTCAAAATTCCCACCCCGCCCTGGGGGCCAGTGCCCTTGGGAGGACCGCGGCATCCAAGGTCACCCAGAGGGGGTCAGGGAAGCAGAAGGCGGGGACCCCGCGAGGCTCAAGACGGCTTAAGAAGCCCCCAAGACGCCCCAGAAGAGCCACAGGAGCGCCCCAGGAGGCTCCTGGGAGGCTAAACTCATTGATTTTCATTTGGTTTTTGATGGATTTCTGCGTTCTCGCTTTTCCTGGCTTCCAATTGCCCCACATGGTCCAAGAGGCCATCAAGATCGCCTCAAAACTGCCCAAGACGCCGCCAGGAGAGCCCCAAGACGGCCGAAGAGCACCACAAGGCGGCCCCAGTCGGCACGGACATCGAATACAGCATGCAGCCTAGAATACGCTTCGCGTAATCCAACCAGCCCATCCAGAAACGATGCCAGAGGAATTGCCTCGATCAGGGAAGTGGGCAGCACACAGAGAAAGGGTCCCCCAGTGGAGGCCTCTTGGAGCGTCTTGGGGGCCTCTTGGCGGTCCCGGACGCCTCTTAGAGCGTCTTGGGTGCCTCGCAGAGCTTTTTGGGGCCTCTTGGGGGTCTCTTGGGAGCCTCTTGGAGGCCTCTTGGGCGCCTGTTGGGGCCTCCTGGGGCATCTCCTGGGCCCCTCTTGGGGCCCTCTCGAAGCACTCTTGGGAGCCTTCGGAGCGCTCTTGGAGCCCTCTTGGGCCATCCTGGAGCCATCTTGAGGCCTCGGATGGTCATCGGAAGCGAAAAGGCGGGAAAGCCAAAAACATTGATGTTGGCAAGGTTTTGGAAGGATGTGTTGCCTCTTCGGGGCCTCTTGGGGGAGCTCTTTGGCCATTTGGAGCCGTCTTGGAGCGGTCTTGGGGCCTCTTGGAGCATCGTGGGAGCCATCTTGAGGCATCTTGGGGTATCTTGAGCTATCTTGGAGGTCATCTTGGGCTCTCCCAGGCGCTCTTGGAGTGATCTTAATCAGTGCCCCCCCCCGGGAGGCCAAAATGCGGCCAAAACCTTAATGACATCAATGATTTTGGCATTCTCGCCGAGGCCTCTTGGAGCGTCTTGGGCGCTTCTGGGGGGCCTCTTGGGGCCTCTTGGGGGTATTTTGGGAGCCTCTTGGGGGCATCCTGGGGGCCTCTTGGGAGCCTCTTGGGGCCGCCTGGCCACCTCTTGGGGCCCTCTTGGGGCACCCTTGAGAGCCTTTGGAGCGATCGTGGGGCCATCTCGGAGGACATCGATCAAAGAAGGGAGCTCCCTTAATCAGCGTCGCCCCCCCAAGAGGCCAAAATGAGGCCAAAACCCAAGTGAAACCAATGAGGTTGCCTTCCTCGCCGAGGCCGTTTTGGACGCCCTGACCGCTCGTGGGGCGCCCCGTCCAGGTCCAGGGGAGGGGGTAGGGGGAGGGGTCAAGACCCCCTCCCCGCCCGCAAGCCGTCTCGCTCACTCCCACCCGCCCTCCCAACACATACGTAGCACCCGAGTCTGGCCCGAGCCTCAGCATATTCAGCAGTCGTCTTTGGATGGGCAGCTACTGGGGGCCAATCCGCCGCCGCCGCCCGCCGCCGCCGCCGCCGCCGCCGCGCCGCCGCCGCCGCCGCCCCGCCCGCCGCCGCCGCCGCCGCCGCCGCCGCCGCCCGCCGCTGCCAAACCGCCGCCGCAGCCGCTGCCGCCACCGCCACCGCCGCCGCCGCCGCCGCAGCAGCCGCCGCAGCCGCCGCCGCCGCCGCAGCCGCCGCCGCCGCCGCCAAGTGTACTATGTATTGGTTGTTTGACAGGGATGGCGGGGGGGGCCGCATCGGGTTGGCTGCGCATGTTCCGAATTTGGAGGCAGAGTGTGGTTTGCAATGTTTTTAACAGGGAATGGTGGGGGTTGTCATGGACCCTGGTTGGCCCCCAGTCGCCTGGGGGAGGGGGTGTTTATTAATAGGGAACAGTGATAAACCCTTCCCAAAAGGGGAAGAAAGGAGGTTAGAAGAGGAGCCGCCCTAAACCACCTACGCCCAGAGGGCTGGTGGGATTCGTTTTCAGATTCCCGTATTATTTGGGGCTGCCGTTGTTAGTGATTTCTTTTGGGCCTGAGTATAGCCCCGAATGGTACATACGGCGGGCGCCGTGGGCAGCGGGAACGTTTTCGTAATATGACATGTGCTTGCGACTCAACCTCATCGATAATTCTATGATGTCTGGGTCATTCTTTCTGACAGGACGGGTTCGCGGCTTTGGAGAGTGCAGCGCCGAATACGTTAATGGATATTGTGTGGCGTGCTTTGGTGGTACATCCGCGTGGTTGGTTCTACGTAACGTTGCTTTAATTCAGGGGATGGTTCGCGAAATGCAAATTGATGATGAGGATGAGGATGAGGACGATAATGATTGGTGAGGAGGCTGATGATGATGAGGATGATGATCATGATGACGATGAGGATGATGATCATGATGGTATTGTTGATGGTGATGATGCTGATGATGATCACGCGTCAGAGCTCAACAAATCAGCTGCGACTGATGGGCGGCGTGGGATCGCAGCGTCCTTGCCGATGTCAAACAAGTACCATCCGTCCTGGCGTCCTTTCTGGCACTCATGGCTGGAGCAAGCGAATGGATATCAGGCGACACGAAATTGCAGGGATGCACATCCGTGAACTGATCGCAGAATTGAAGCGGAAAGTGCACCCGAACATGTTGAACCAAATGTTGTAAAAATTTGCATTGTCCTTGGGAATAGGCGATGTTCGCCATTGCTTGGGAGAACGCTCAGACTCGGTGCTCACGCAATTTTCCGCCACTGCCTGGGAGAACGCTTTCCCAACAACGTCTGGTTCTACTCTAGCGTGTTCTGCCACTGCTGAAGAACATTATGCTCACCTGCTGTACACAGTGAAATGCTAAAGAACACGCGCGACCCATAACAGACATGATGACCTGTACGAGTGCACTGTCGCCAACGAGCGATCTTACAAAACGGCGGCATCATAAGTGTGTCATCTCGACTCGACGTTAGGACCAGGGTTTCGCACCGCCACCCGTTGCCGCTGCCAGGCTCCTTCGAGTGGCCATCGGCAAGGACCGCATAGGTCGAAGGGTCGCAGCGGTCGCCCCTAGGATCACCCCTACAGTACCACTGTGGACTGAGGTAACGACGATTCGGCGATGAGTGGAAGCATCGTAAAGTCCTCTCTCTGCGTGGTTGCTGGACGGGCTCCGCGGGTGCCAGCCACTGCGGCGCTTAGGCCGTTGCGGGTTTTCTGCCGATTGTCGTTTTGAGGGCTTTTGACAGCGGGGGCGGTGGGGCACCACGTTTCCTACCCAGCGCCGCTGGGGCTGCTACTGATATGTTTCCCAACGCTGCCGCTTGATGCGGCGAACTTACACGCGGCAGTACACATGTATACATATGTCGCGCAGCGAACTTACTTCGTGGGACAACTCCAGAGTTAGAGCGTTCCACCAACCCGCGTGCGTACACAAGGAGGCACCACATGTGCTACGGTCTGTGCACTTGAGGCTCTGGAGGCTCTCACGCGCCTCGAAACCTCACTCGCCATCGCTCAACCACGGCTTGGCCAAGCACATGGTTTCTTTCCACATTGCTAGCTTGACCAGGCGCACTCATTCGCAACACCAGCAACGATGACAGCATTGACGCCAGCACCAAAGGTGGCGCCTACACCAGCATCGATGACAGCATCGACGCCAGCATCAACGCCGGCGACTACGCCGGCACCAACGCCAGCGCCTACATCAGCGCCGATCCCTGCACCGACGCCAGCATCAACGTCGGCGACTACGCCGGCACCAACGCCAGCGCCTACACCAGCGCCGACGCCAGCACCGACGCCAGCACCACGCCATCGCCTACACAAGCACCGACGCCAGCACCAAGCCAGTGCTTACGCGGGCACCTTCGCCAGCGCCGACGCCAGCATCGACGCCAGCTCCACCGCCAGCGCCTACACCAGCGCCGACGCCTACGTCGCGAGCAGCGGCGTGGGTTCGCTCGGGACGAGCAGGGTGACCAGAAGTTTGTAGATAGACATCGGTGAGGCAGCATGCGTCGGGCCCACTTCAGTGGACCATGTCTACGGGTGCACGCAGCGACGGACACCCAGAGCACGGCTCGGATTTGCACGACGACACGCAGAACGACGGTCACCAGCAGCACTATGACGAGCAGCACGGCGTTTGATCAGCATGATGGCCGCCGGCAGCGCGACGAGGAGCAGCACGACGACGAGCGCATCCGCAGCGCGCGTTTGAACACGACGGCGGTCTGTCGATCGCCGTGTCGATTTCCTGCACCACGGAGTTGTGCGCTACCGCGGAATCCGCCCCGACGGAGTCGGGCACCACTCGGTGTTCCAGTTCCAGCACTATTGAACATTGCGCCACATGCTGCACACCACGTTTGAGTCGAGCACACCGTCAGGATTCAGCATGTCGGTGTCGAGCTCCACTGCGGCAAGCACGGCGCCGATGGCAAGAGGGAGTTCGGAGCCTTCCACGCGGACCTCCGCTCGTGCGCAGCACCAGCAGCACGCTGCAGTCCACCCCGGCATCCGCAGTCGCAGCTGCCAGTGCAGCTCCAGGACCGCTGCGACTCTTAATTGGGTCCTCTGGGGCATAACTACAGCGTCTGGGTGGTCTTGGGATTCTCTTGAGGGTTTCTCCTTTGCGTCTCCTGGGTCCGTTTATGTTCGCCTCCAGACTCTGCCCTCCGGACCTGTGTTGGACGTGCGCAAGCTCATGCAAGACTGGGACGACCAGCAGCACGACTTCGAGCAGTGTGCCGACAAGCTTGGGTGGTGAGCCGGGCGCCCTAGTATCGGCCACGCGGCCTGGACAAGCATACAATACAGTTTGGGGTCCTCTGGCTTCGAACTTTGCTGGTCGAACTTGCCAGAACAGGTTATTGGATCATCTTTCTTTCGTTCTTCCTCCTCTCCTCCCGAATTGGCGCGGCTGGGGCCCACCTTCTGCACGCCCCGTGCGATTGGCCACGTGGAGGCCGCAGGCGGGTGACCCCGGGCACAGTTTTCGGGCTAACCTCCCTTGCCACCTCCTCCGCCCCGCGTGCGGCGCATCGTTTAGTTCACCGTACACTGTTTTTCTCTCGGCGAGTGCATGCACCCAAAACGAAATTTACGGTTCAGGTATTTCGCTTCGACCTGCTCCTGTCCCTCTTTCTGTTCTCCTCCCTCCTCCTTCTTTACACCGCTTCTGCGCCACGCCTCCGGCGCACCGTCTCCGTGGCATTTGACAAGTCCCGGGCGCAGGCTCTGCGACATGTGCCAGGCTTCTGGCGCACCATATCCGTTACAGCTTTCAGCCTGCACTTGTTGTGCGCATAGGCTGATGTCTGCCTTTACGGACCGTGCGTTCGGTTTCACCCCGCAGGCGAAGACGACTGGATTTTGCGCCGTTGGTGTTTTGGCGGGTAGCCCCCTTGAGGGGCAGCGGATCTTCCTCTCGTTCAATACGTCGTGCTTATTTGTTTTGCTGTTTCAAGGCCCATTGGAACACTCTGAACGCGGGCACGTGCGGGTTAACGGTTTCCTTTCGCTGTTCCGTTTCACGTTGTCGCGCAGCTTTGCGGTGTTGCGTTGGGGGGGGGGGAATGCGCCCACCATGAATGTTGCGTGCATGAGTTTGCCGCCAAAGCTTTCGGTGGAGGTCCCTCTGGGGCCACAAACAGGGCGCGGCGTGCACCGACATGGACCCGAGTACGCATGCGAACTTTGCCATTGTAGCCTTCGGCGGGGCGCCCGATGGGGCCACGAAACGTGTGAGGGGTGTCCCGCAAAAAGACCTGGGTACGCATGCGAACCCTGACGATGGAGCTTTTGTTGGAGCTCCCTATGGGGCCCGGAAGCGTGTGACGGGTGTGCCGACATGCTATCGGTGACCCGGGCGAACCTTGTCAAGAAGGTGAATCACATTAGGGTATAAAACAAATATTTGCAAAGTATTGACCACGAACCAGTAGACTTGCTCGAGCCGTCCTCGAATCGTCCTCGATCATCGAATCTGGAGGGGTCCCTGGACCAACCGAAACGGCCGTCTCGCTCGAGGCATCCTCGAATCATCAAATCTGGAGGGGACCCTGGACCAACCGAAACGGCCGTCTCGCTCGAGGCATCCTCCGAAACAGAAAGATGTCAAAGGGAACTGTGAGAGAACATCGTCTTGGAATCGCTTTCGGATGGCCTCTAAACGGCCCTTTTCGACCCCCAGGGGCGTTCCCACCAGCAGCAAGTCCACCTACAGCTCAGCGACAAAAGGCTGCAGCAAGCATACTCGGAGTTCAAGTTCCACCAACACCTACACCACAGGATGGCAGCGAACGTACCCATATGTCAATTGCCGCGGGCAGCACACATACCCGCAGTTCAACAGCAGAATGGCCGCAGCAAGCGCACACACATTCGAACAGCCACGGGCCGCGGAGGGTAAGTCGTGAAACCATGAGGGGGGGCAGCCATAAGACTGCAGAAGGCCCGCAGCAAACGCATCCACAGTTTGATTGTCTCTTGCACCACAGTATGACAACAAGCGTGCCCATGTTTTACTTGCCACCGACAGCCAACGTGCCCCTACTTTACCTACAGGAGGGCCGCAGCAAACGTACCCACATGTCAACAGCCACCAGCAGCGTCGCCTCAAGATGCGAGCAAACGTACCCAAACCCATAGTGGGTGGCCCGTGGAACTATGAGGGCCGCAGCATATATACCCACATCCCAGTTGCCACCAGCACCTACACGACAGGATGGCAGCAAGCTTACCAACAGTTCAACTGTCACTGGCAGCGCACATAGCAACATATCAAAGCAGACGTGCTGCAGCAAGCGTAACCACACCTCGTCTGCAACCAGCCGTTGCACCACAGGATGACAGCAAGCGTGTCCACATTTCAATTGTCACGGGTCACACACGTACCCACAGTTTAACGGCAGAACGGCCGTTGCGAGCGTACCCACATTTGAATTGCCACTTGCAGCTACACCACAAGGTCGTTTCAAACGCGCGCACATGTCAATTGCCACGGGCAGCGAACGCACCCACAGTTCAACGGCCGAAAGGCCGCAGCAGATATACCCGCATGATCGGTGCCACCAGCAGCTAAAACACTTGATGACAGCCAGCGCACTTTCATTTTAATTGCCACTGGCACCAAACGAATAAAGTTCTCAGTTGCCACCAGAAGTTACACCACAGGAAGGCAGGGACCGTGCCCAGACCTCAATTGCCACAGCCAGCAAACATACCGACATTGCCACGGCAGAAAGGCCGCAGCAAACGTACCCAATGTCATTAGCCACAAGCCAGGGACCGCACCTCATGTGCAAGCATGCGTGCTGGGTGCAAATCCATGCGCCCGTGCGCACGCAAGCTGAGACAAGCGGCGCTTCCCGTTCTTGCCCGAATGGGTTAATTTTGCAAAGGCCTCACCCGATGAAGCTGCGAGAACCGCAGTTGTAAATACCGTCATCAGTGGAGCTCCCCATGGGGCCACGAAACGTGTGAGGAATGTGCCGAAATGGGCGCGGGGGGGGCATGCGAGGCGGGGCGGGGTATGCGAGGTCTGCCATTGAGGCTTTCGGTGGGGCTCCTGTAGGGCCACGGGTCGTGCGAGTGGTGTGCCGAAATGCGTCGGGGGGTAGACATGCGAGGTCTGCCAGTGGGGCCTTCGGTGGAGCTCCCTATAGGGCCACGGGTCGTGCGAGGGGTGTGCCGAAATGCGTCGGGCGGGGAGGGGGGGGGGGCATGCGAGGTGTGTCCCCACTGGGCCACGAAGCGTGTGAGGGGTGCGGGGGGAAAGGGAGAAATGCGAGGTCTACCATTTTGGCCTTCGGTGAAGCTCCCGATGGGGCCACGAAACGTGTGAGGGGTGTGCCGAAATTGGCGGGGAGGCCTTAATGGGGCCACTCAACGCGCGACAGGAGTGCCGACATGACCAGCGGAGGGGTGTGCCAAAATGGGCGGGGGGGTCATGCGAGGTCTGCCATTGGGGCCTTCGGGAGACATGCGAGGTCTGCCACTGGGGCTTCCATTGGAGGTCCCTATGAGGCCACGAAACGTATCAGGGGTGTACCCAAGTGGGGGTGGGGAGGCATGCGAGGTTTACCACTAGAGCCTTCGGTGGAGCTCCCTATGGGGCCACAAAGCGTGTGAGGGGTGTGCCGAAGCTCATGGCGATGATGGTGATGATGATAGCGATGATGGTGCTAATGATGATGATGACGACGATGGTTCTGGTGCTGGTGTTGGTGCTGCTGTTGCTGCTGCTGATGATGATGATGATGATGATCATGATCATGATCATGATCATGATGATGATGGCGATGAGGTCGACGATGATGATGGGAGGAGGGAGAAGGACAGGAGAAGAAGACGCAGGGAACTGTCTCTTCAAAACAAGGTCCCAACACCACAGGGTGGTTGGGAACAACATGTGTTTGAAGTTTCTCGGGGGCCTCTACGGGAATCTCGGAGGACATTTGGAGCCGCCCTCGGGCGGTCACGGGGGTTCTCGGATGTGTGTTGGAAGCTATCTTGGACCATCTTCTTGAGCGACGGTTGATGCCATATTGGGCCCTCTTGGAACCATTTTGGACCATCTTGGCCGCTCAACCTTCGCAGGGCGAACCGTCCAGGTCAGGGAGGAGGGGGAGGAGAAGGGGGAACCCCTTCCCCGAAGAAGAAAAAAGGTGTTTGGCAGAAGTAGCTCGTCTTACCACTCACGTCCTTAAGGGCTGGAGTGATTAAGGCCAATGCAGCCCAGTCCTAGCCGCAGCCCGGTCCCGCTAGGATACCGCCAAGGTCCCACCCTGGGGCCCGGGCAGGGGGCCATGGGAGGCGGAGGGGGCGAGAAGGAAAGGAAGAGGGAGGACGACGACGAGGAGAAGGCAGGCGAGGACCAACACGACACGAGAACGAGGTAATATCCGGAGGTCGTCGTAATCGGGATGATGACCGAACATGCGTTCATCCGAGTCGTGTTCCGAAATTGTGGTGCCGAATCGTAATCGTAGTCGTCATGCCGACCCTGACCGTGATGCCAGTGCATTGTAATTTCAATCGCCAACAGTAATCGGCACTTGTTTACGGATAGCTCTAACTGTCGCCGTTCCGTTGGAGCACATGCCGCTTCATCTCACGTCAGATTGTCATGCGTGCAGTTTGCGTGGGCGTGTTGCCACGGTTGTTGCGCTTCTCGATCAGTGGCGACGCTGCGCGTGCCCAAGTTTCGAGTGTGCCAAAGATTGAAAGTTTGATTTCTTCAATTGCATTCATCAATCTGTGGTTCGGTGGATCCGCGATGCTCCACTTACATCAATCATTATTTCATTGGGGCGTCGAAGCAGTAATAGTAGCAGTAGTAGTATTACTAGTAATCGTAGTAGTAGTAGTAGTAGTAGTAGTCGTCGTAGTCGTAGTCGTAGTCGTAGTCGTAGTAGTAGTAGTAGTAGTAGTAGAAGTAGTAGTAGTAGTCGTCGTAGTCGTAGTAGTAGTAGTAGTAGTAGTAGTCGTCGTCGTAGTCGTAGTCGTAGTAGTAGTAGTAGTAGCAGCAGTAGTAGTAGTAGTAG